CAGTAGATAAGACTTCATCTACCTGGTTATGAGAAACAAACTAAATGTTTTGACGTTTTAGTGTTGTTAAAGTCCTTCATAATTACAATCTTCTGAGCTTAACTAACATGTTTTTTTCGTTTGAAACGTCATATAGTTTTTTTATATAATGTACTAAATATTTTTCTAAATAATTAAGCACTATTGTGGTGCGCGCTACTTATAAGTAGTATATGACGCGAGTAAAAACGTAATGTCTGGCAGCAGAAGATGGAGGAAGATCAAGAAAGGAAGAGTGTGAACACAATGGAATTTGTATGAAACGCATGAATAAGTGAAATGTCAGACAATGGATTGATGATGGATTGAAGATTTGCAAATGAACGATCACGATATGGTTTTCCTATTTTACTGAGTAATTCGTTAAATACAATTTGGTTGACCTCACTTATGTTCTCCTTCACTACACTATCACTTCAAGTAATCATAAAAAAATAACTGTTAAGGTTTCATTAACATTTCAGACAACTTATTCATTATTGACAAACTATTCATCTGACCAAATTTTAAATCATGTTAGTTATTAGAAACAGAGATTAGGCATTAGGTGGGTGAAACCAAAGGTCTTAGGTTCGACTCCTACATGTGCGGCTCGTGGAAGAGCATTGTTGATGAGTCCCACGTTAGGATATTCGTCCAATATCCTAAAAGAATTATTGATCAAATCCTATTAGTCGATTTCTATAGGTCAAAATTATGATCGTTTTAACTGTCAAAGTCAATTACTTCAATGTTGTCTCTTATTAGTCATCTGGACTGTCAATGTCATTTCAAATGTTACTGTCGGGATAGCCAATCGAGAAGAAAGCCACGCACATTGTGGATTGATGAACTATTTGATGAATGTTCATGATGAAGTATTTGATTAATGTTCATGATGAACTATTTGACCAATATTCATGATGAACTATATGATTAATGTTCATAATGAATGTTCAAAATATTTAAACGACATATAATTGTATAAATACGCACGTTTGATTGTATATTTTTGATTATGATAATAAACGTTCTCCAACGTCTTCCATCCTCTTATTTTTGAACGGAGGGGTCTAACGTTCGGTGCGTCATTAGTACAGTGGTTTGGCGTTACATCAAGTACAAAACATAAAAGTTACTTCCTATTGGTTGTCTTAACTGTCAATGTAACAGAATTCGATGCTGTTTCCTATTCGACCAAAATGTATAAATACGCATTATCTATAACATTTTATGACCAGGACAAGGACCAGGACCCGGATCCCTAGTCCAGGATCCTGATTCTCTTCTGGATTCGGACCTCATACTTTCTGGATGCTTATAGAATACAAGTCCTACTTCATATCATGTCTTCTTATTTTCACTGAATATGGGGGTTGGAATAATCGGATTTGAGTAACATGTCGTGGTGTCACCGGATCCTCGATCCTCGCTCCCGTTTTCCTACTAGGTAAACTCGTATTATAGTTCAAGTATATCAAGTTGACGTGTTTACGTGCAGGCGTAACATTCCCACGTTAGGACGAAACGTCCGTCCAGTGTTTTCAAGTTTCTGATGATGGCTTAACATGTAAATGATTCAGGATTTCATGAGAAATTTTAACATTCTCCACAAGTGGAAATAATTAATTCAGATTATGACTACTAGCCTATACGGTGATGTAACATGTGTGCTGTGTAATAAACTGTTTTAGTAAATCGATAGAATTATCTAGAATTATCTATTTGGTTTAATTATTATTTGTTAAAACTCTATTTTTTTTCGCAAAATATGATTCAATACAATTCAGTACTATGCCGACTTCAAAGTAGGAAAAATTCTGATGTCAATTAGTTTCGTCTTAATTTTTAGAAACTATTTACTAATGAATGCGACTTGGTGAAGATAATTATCGAACGTCTATTATCAATTAGTAAGTTTAAGAATTTACTTCATGTTCATTACTTCATAAATTATAGGAATTTTTTTCCATCAATTAAATGTAACCTATTACTTAATTACTTACCTACCTACCTACCTACCTAACTACTTACTTACTCACTTACTTACTTACTTACTTACTTACTTACTTACTTACCTACGTCTGCTAATCCCAATGGAGCAAAGGTCGCAGACCAGCGATTTCCAACCAACTGTGCCTTCTGTTCCAAAGTTATTCAATTGCTGTTGATTGTTCTTATGTCTGTTTTAATTATTTCGGAGTAGTGTGTTATTTTGAATTCCGAATGAGAGCTTGCCTTGTGTTTTCTTCCATGGATGACTTTCCATCTACTTCTATCGCTTCTTCCTGATTACTTCTTCCTCCGCTAGGATCTGGTCAGTTCTTTGTTACAGTGGGTAAATATTACTCATATTGTGTATGTATTGTGAAACTGAAATATGTAATCCCAATGACAGAGAATTATCTTAAATTCTACAACGAGTTTTAGTTTGTATCTATCATGGTTAATTGAATGTTAACATGGTGCGAAGAAATCGGTTTCGATAATTCAATTCAAAATTCATTAAATTTGAATTTCGCAAAAGTTATTTTTCAAAACGGTGGTTCCCTTTGATAAATTTGAATAGAGAAATGAGAAGACATATTTTGTGAGATACTAACATTTTGTGCTTTCTCGTCAGTCACATACAACCAACATGTTATTTGTGTAAATACACTTTTGAAGATAAGGTCAAAATTTCTTATTTAGCCTGATATTCACTCACTAGAAGAACCATGGTAAACAAAGGTCAACATACAGTTGTTTCTGAACACATAAAGTTGGACTTTTCCGACCAATCAAGATAGCTTCGAGTAGTTTCAGTGTGTGTGTGTGTGTGGGTTTTGATGACATGTCACAACTCTGAAAGGCTGATTTTGGGTCAATTTGATGACCACTCATCATTAGATGTTTTGCAATGGACGAGGCTGGGTTTCTTGATCGATTTTGAGACGACGGGATAGGTGGTGGATGAATCATGGATTTGATTAGCCATTTTGGAATATATTCTCCTATCCTGTCTTCCAATCGGCGATCTGTCCTACCTAGGTAACTTTCTCCACAGTTACATGTGAATTGGTAAATACAGTGGGATTTGGACTGAATCAGTCTTGGAGAATTGATTGGGGTAACTGAGATCGATTGAGTTGTTGTGATAAGTCTCAGATTAGCTGCATTGAAGGTCTTTTTTATTGCAGCTGCAGTCTGTTTGGTTGTAATTTTCATGCAATGATCACCCTTGAAAGGTAACACTGTAGGTACACTGGTTTCTTGGGTACATCAGTTGCTACCAGCTTCATAGTACTTGTGTTCTGATGACCAATAAACGTTTCGGGATATCCATTTGATTTAAGTGTCTCAGTAATGAGCTTGAATTCGTCGTTCAATGTATCAGCAGTGCAGATTCTACTTGCTCGAGCGAATAAAGTTTTGACAACAGAACATATTATACTCAAATAAATTAAACCTTGAAGTCAAGAATTAATCATTATTAGACAACCAATAAAAACCAGAAAGCAATTAATGCTAGTTTCCTCCTTGTATGGAACGATTCGTCAATGGCAGTGCGCATCCACAACTCCTGCCACTCTCACAATGTTCGAACCCATCACGTTCAGTCTCGAGCACGAACGCCTAATCTCTGAACCACTAAAGCAGTATCCCATAGTGTTCAATTCTGATCAATCTATGGTCTGACCATCATTTATTCATGATTTCAAGTTGAAACTACCATCTGTCTAATGCAGACAGACAGACAGATTTGGTTTTGACCGATTTGGTCTCGTGTGCTGGTAAGGGTATGAGGGCGGTTATCACTTCCCGGCTGCCCACACCGTGGAAAGTTGTTTCTTGAGGAACATGAGAAGGAAGATAGATTAGTGTTGGTCTTAACGACCTGGGTACGTGACTGCAGAGTCCAAGGGACAAGTGCTTCAGGCCGGTCATGCACAGCCTTTTGATGAAGGGTATTTTGAGTGTTAGCTCCTCTCTTTTCAAAGCCTTTAGTAAGCACCCTTACCGACGGAGACGGAAATCCGTGAGGTAGGGTGAGGTATGACAATTTTAGGGTCGACGTTTTCTAACCCTTCCTTCCTTGTGATGAGAAGGCAGCATCGCTGCAAATGCTAGTTGTCTGAAGGAAACACTTTACTGCTGTCACACCCCTCCATCACAGTCAGTCAACAGTACAACTTCGCCCTCAGACGTTGAGTAGTTGCTTTTAGTCTCATCGTTCTCCAATAGACCTGGCTGGTATGGTAGAACCTTCAGGAACATATGTTCCAGCCAATATAGCTCGGTTGGGTCATCACGATTCTCGAGCCCGACCACCATATGTCAAGGTAGCAGCTACGGTCGGGATCTCTCTAATGCAATATAACATAAATTAAATTTGTATTTATTATACATTTTTTTGGGGGAAAAAATTCCCAAAACAACCTTATGTTAGATAATTAATTAGTATACGGTCAATTAATTCTAATTTTAATTTTTTTCACTAAACCACTTGTCTACAGTTTAAAAAAAAATTCCGACAATCATTTTACACTTCAATAACATATTTCTTTTTTTAATTTCATTAAAAAATTTTTGGTGCGTTTTTTCTCTGGTTTTGCATTGTAAATTACTACTAATTTTGTTATCAAATTGTTTAAAATAAAACTCTAGTGGATAGAATTTTTTTGTTGTTGTTCAGACTGTACTGTCATTGTACATTTTTATTTGTCTAACCATTTGGATACATTTTTAATTCAATCTCGCTCTCTCTCCATGTCTCTCACCTTGTACACTGCTGCATCGTGATTGGCCAGTGTGTGTGTATCATCATGACCTTGAGATGGACATTTTTTTTTTCTCAAATGGAGTGAGATTTACAAGTAACTGTGTTTTCATTATTTGTTATTATCGTTATAGCATTTCCGTAGTTTACCTCAAAATTATAGAGCAAAATTGCTACCAAACTTCTTGTCTGGACCTAATTATACTACTTATAAATACATTTCATCAGTATGGAATTATGAAAATTAAAGGAAGTTGATTTTCACTTAGTTTCAATATATATTTTATATTTGGACAGCTGACGATATTTTGACAAAATTACTTTGGAAATCAATGTGGTGGAAAGAATATTTTTGGGCAAAATAATAATTCAGGACAATTGATCATTACTAGTCACACACACACACACAAATGAAGAACTAATTCAATGAAACAAACTAGTAGTAATGATTATTGGACAAATTCAAGGTGTTCAGTTATTCCGTACATTGAGCAATGAACTAATTTTATGTTTTACACTTTTCTATTTAATAATTTTCATGCTCTGTATAAAATTTAAAAGCAAACATCGTAGTTTATCGTTGAATAAAGTGAAAACAGTTCAGCAGCTGAAACACAATGATCATGATAAATTTACTATTAATCAGTCAAAACAATTTATCACTAATGCAATGGAGGATAGGGAAAATCGGTAAGTTTAAAATTCAAAACATGATTGATTGACTGATTGATTTTTATAAAAGTTCTGTTATTTTTGTTATCAAAAAAACAAAGAAGTCAGAATTGTGTTTTGTAAACAAAGTTGATGATTGATGGATGGAGCCAGAGGTTATTTTATTGATGTGACGATTATGTGACTGTACAGTTAGTTAGTAAGTAGTATATATTACTTGTTCTTATGTTAGATGATTAGAAGACTTGAGAAGATTTCTGATCAGTATGGTTCACTGTCACAAGCCCCGACCGTAGATGCTAACTTGACATGTGGTGGTCGGGCTTGACTATTGTGATGACCCGACCGAGCTATATTGGATGGAACATATGTTCCTGAAGGCTCTACCATGTCAGGCAGGTCGATTGGAGAACGATAAGACTGAAAGCAGCTACTCAAGCAAGGTCTGAGGGCGAAGTCGTACTGCTGACTGACTGGAGGGGTGTGACAGCAGTAAGTTGTCTCTCTCGGATAACCAGCATCTGCAGCGATGCTACCTTCTCATCACAAGGAAGGAAGGGTTAGAAATGTTGGACCCTAAAATTGTCACACCTCACCCTACCTCACGGATTCCCGTCTCCGTCGGTAAAGGTGCCCACTAAGGGCTTTCAAGAGCGGAGCTAAAACTCAAAAAGCTTCCCATAAAAATGCCATGCGTGACCGGCCTGAAACAGTTGTCCCTTGGACTCTGCGGTCACGCTCCCAGGTCGTTAAGACCAACACTAATCTGTCTTCCTTTTCAGGTCCCTCAAGAAACAACCTTCCACGGTGTGGGCAGCCAGTTCGTGACAACCGCCCTCATACCGGTACCAGCACACGAGATCAAATTGGTCGAAATCAGATCCTCCCTACACCCCCTAAGACTTCTCTTCTCTCCACAACTATCTCTACTCACATTCTCTTATCTCACTGCACCTCTGCTGCAAACGAAGCAAGTTCACGAAACGTTATTTCTAGTCTCCTGAAACCCCCGTTCTAGACTACTGTCACAACCTGAGATACATGACACAGTATGTTGTTTTAATACGTTTTATCTGAGTAAACTCAACGGTGATCTAACAATAATTCAAATGAAATGTGTCGATTCCTAGTTAAGCTGACAGTGTATAACTCTGAGATGTCTCATACTGACAGCCGAATTGATAAGTAGTATCCCCTGATTTGTAATACCACCTGAAATGCGTTCAGTCTATGAGTAATGAAGTAAACAAACCTATCAACTCCCAATTTTTGTTTGATTCTCATAAAATAAATATCAGTATAGGTTTGTGAAGATTGATGAATCTCATTGGAATCATGAGCCAGTCAATTTCAGACCAGTATTGAAACCTTGAAAGTAATGATCGGATGGATTCTTTCTAGTATGAGATTACTCAGTAAAGCTTATCCTCAACCTTACAACCCATAATCGAACTGAGGTCGTGTTCATCCACGTTCTCAAACGCTTAACCCCTAAAATCACTGAATCGGCGTCCAGCAGTGTTGATGCCTAACTCTCATTAAGCTATGATATTGTACAATCACCTAAGATTTTCCCACTAGAACGCCAGGTAGAACTTGTGACCACTGGAGTTCAATCGGACTGGCTGTGACAAAGTTATGCACCGAAGACAATGTTAGTTGAATTGTTAAACATTTATACCTTTAGATATCGACTCAGTGGTTTAGATATCAAGCATTTACACATGAAGCCAAAGTTCCTGGGTTCGATTCCAGGTTACAAAGTTAAGAATAAGCATCATTGAACAATCCCACAGGACGAGTGTACTGTGCAGTGGTTCGCTCCGTCTTACTTTATGGATGTGAAACATGGCCAGTCAGAGTAGAAGATATTAGTAGGTTTCTGGTTTTCGATCATCGATGTCTTCGAAGCATTGCTCGTATACCGTGGGACAACCGAGTGAGCAACGCTGTTATTAGGAAACGGGTACAAAGTAAGAATGGCAGATCAATAGACGCAGTAGTGACACTTCATCAGTTGAGGTAGTTGGGACATGTCTTGCGTATGCCCAACCACCGACTGCCTCGTCGAGCTTTGTTTTGTAGTGTAGGAATAGGTTGGAAGAAAGTTAGGGGCGGCCAAAACAAAACATGGCAGAAATCCATGAAGTCATTGAAAAGTGGACTTAGCCATGTCGGTAATTGTCGACTACCTGTTTGGGGTCCGTGAGACAAAAGTCACCAATGGTTAGAGACCTTGAATGACATGGCTTAATATCGTTCGCAATGGCTCCAGTGCATTTATTCTTTGTGTTCTCTCAAATCCTAATCTCCTAGGTTCTTCAACACCTCTAATTTTGACTTTCTAAACTTTTCTCATTAAACCATACTTCTTGAATACATCTCTGTGCTGGTGTGGTATGGCGACATGAACTGATGTACTTACGTACGAAGTTCTACGTTACATCTGACTGACTGACTGACTGACTGACAATCCCACAGAAGAACAAAACGGCCATCTCGTGCATTCAAGTTTTCAATGTTCGTCTAAAATTAATCGGCCATTGAGTGAGTTCCTATCAAACACGACTTTATGATAGGCTTTTTCCAACTGGTTCATAGTTATTATTAGTAATATTTTTTCTCAATCATTACAAATATATAAACTACTAATCAGATCTCATATTTATATTATTCATAGTGTAAGCCAATTATAAATTTTTTAAACTTGAACGATCAATATTCAATATCAAACAGTAAACATTGAATAAAGCCGATAAAAACAGTAATAAGTAGATGATACCAATCAAATCCATGACAAATGTTTAATCTTTTCTGAAAATCTCTTATCTAAATTCACATATAAAAAATATATGTATATCTCATTGTTGCTGATGTTGTTCAAAACAATAATGGGCGTTATTTTTTTCAGACTAGTGATAATACAATACAATACACACATAACATAACATGATTATTCGTTTGTTTGTACAAGGTCTGGATTTCCGGTTTTCAAATATTTTCTCTTGTTCAATTCATCAATGTTAGAACGATAACATACAATCAATGTCTATGTATTCATTCAATGAGTCGATATTACAACTAGAGGACTGATCACTGTTGTTAAGATATAAGTATTAGGTAGGGATGAGAAATCAATCGATGAAGTATTGAAAAGTGATCAGTTAAGATGGTTAGGACATGTGCTGAGTATGTTCAACCATCGATTGCCACAACGAGTGATGTTTTATATGGTGTCTAGGAGTAGGTTAGAAGAAAGATAAGGGGCGCGGCCAAATTAAAAAATGGCGGAAATCCATGAAGTTACTGACTAGTGGACTGATTCATGTTGATAGATGTTGGCTATCTGGTTTGAGATCCGTTATAAGTTCGTCACTTAGTCGATAACCGCGAACGAGACAATTAATCAGCGCCCAGGTAGGTTACCTTGAATCCCAAACTGCAAAACAGAAGACTTGGTAAGCGTAGAAAGTATATTCTACAAACACCCAGCAAGCACAGTACAATCAAGCATACAACTCTCGTTTATTTAGACAACATAGAAACGTCCTTGGGACAGTTAAGAAAATGGCACACTAAAATACACAGCAGCCAATCACAGTCATGGATTTTCCTTGTGGGAATTGAAATCTCAATGTCAACTGATCAGCCCATGCTCGCAAACGTGAAATCCAAAATAAAACATTTATCAACCGAATTTCGGGGATCTAACATCCCCAACAGTCCGCGAGACGAAAGTAGCCGATGGTTAGAGACCTTGAGTGACATGGCTTAAAATGGTTTGTAGTAGTGCAGGTGTATCCATTCTTTGTGTTCTCTCAAATTCTAATCTTGTGAATTCCTGATCACCTTGATTTGTATCTTTCCACATTTTATCTCATTGAATGATACCTCTTGAATAACATCTTCAAACCCTAATCTTCTCGATTACTGCTAATACTTCTATTACCTCTACTCTATTATGGGATTTGAATTGACAATTGTATCTCTATGCTTGTGTGACATGACAACATGTACTGATAAACGTACGTACCACGTTCTCTGTTGTAACTAACTAACTAACTATTTTCAAATTAAAAGTGAATAACACAATTGAAGCATTTGAAGTGAGTGCAACTGACTTCAAGTCCCTAACTAAACATCATCTGTGACGAGATACTGACTCATCGCAAATACGATGAGACACGCATCTTTTATTTCAATGCTAATCAATATCCATTTGTGCTAATAATCAGTGAATGTTTGAAATCACTTTCAATTACTTACTTTGAATTGCTTTTTCTAGTTAGCGTTCTTTTTTAGCGAGTTAACTTTCTACGAGATGTGTCCTCCAACCCCATACCCAACTTACTTACTTACTTACGCCTGGTACCCCAATGGAGCATAGACCGCTCACCAGTTTTCTCCAACCAACTCTGTCTGTCCTGGGCTTCCCTTTCCAATTCTGTCCAATGCTTGTTCATTCCTCTCATATCTTTCTCTATTTCTCGTCGTAATGTGTTCTTTGGCCTCGCCCATACCCAAGCTTCCTCCTTTATCAAGGCTTGGGACCGGTAATAGCCACCTCAGAGTGGCTCCAGACTGCAGATTTTCTTTTCTTAAATAAACATTTTTAATATCAATCTATTTTCATCCTCATCATGTTTTTTTCAAATGAAAAATCTTAAAATCCCTATCTGGGTGAGGAGTTTTTTCAAATCGTTTTTTATACTGACAGATAATTTCAATCGATAACATTATAATAATCCGGTAAACAGATATCCCAAATCTGAATCATTTATGAAAATGTTTTCAATATCAAATCGGTCATGTGATGTGTGTTTAGTCAGTTAGTCAGTAAGTCTATTCTCATGGCTGCTTATTGATGTTGGCCGACAAGTTGGTGATTAATAATTTTTTGAGCACAGATGTTAAGTCGGGAGAAAGCAGTTTTTTGTAATGTGAAAACCTGTATCTTGTGGATGGTGGCTTTTGTAAATCTCCAAGTTTCTGCCGCAATACATTAGAGAACTGTCTTG